GACCATAATAGGATCTGCAGTATCAGCTTATAGTCACTGCAATAAGGTATAGCTGTGTGGGCTTGTTGAAAGGGTCAGGTGCAACACAGACCATAATAGGATCTGCAGTATCAGCTTATAGTCACTGCAATAAGGGATAGCTGTGTGGGCTTGTTGAAAGGGTCAGGTGCTAGACAGACCATAATAGGATCTGCAGTATCAGCTTATAGTCACTGCAATAAGGTATAGCTGTGTGGGCTTGTTGAGTCAGGTGCAAGACAGACCATAACAGGATTTGCAGCATCAGCTTATAGTCACTGCAATAAGGGATAGCTATGTTTTTTTCTTTTCTTTTTTTTTTTTGAGATGGAGGTTCACTCTTGTTGCCAAGGCTGGAATGTAATGGCAACATCTCGGTTCACTGCAACCTCTACCTCCTCGGTTCAAGCGATTCTCCTGCCTCAGCCTGCCGAGTAGCTGGGATTACAGGCACGCACCACTATATCCGGCTAAGCTGTTTTTTTCTCTTTGTCATTTCTAGGTTCGTAAGAAGAATTCACTGAAGGACTGTGTGGCAGTGGCTGGGCCCCTCGGTGTCACACACTTTCTGATCCTCAGCAAAACAGAGACCGGCGTCTACTTTGTGAGTAGACTCCCTCATCCTTCCATCTCCCCCAGACCCCCATTTTCCCCGTCTCTCATGATGAACACATATATGCCTCTGAGCTGCTGTGATTTCTGGCTTCAAAGTAAACGCTCTGAAGAAGAGATGGGGCAAAGGTGCCTACTCCCAGGCTCCTCTGCTAGACCTCTCCATCCTCACTGATATTTTCTTCCCCTGCAGAAGCTGATGCGCCTCCCAGGAGGCCCTACCTTGACCTTCCAGGTCAAGAAGGTGAGAGGGGGGGAGGTGGTACAAAGTCATGTGGGTGGGAGCTGGACTTGGGGGTGGCCCCAGCCACGTGTGGTTGATGGTCACCCCCTCCTCACTCCTGCTCTGCAGTACTCACTGGTGCGTGACGTGGTCTCCTCGCTGCGCCGGCACCGCATGCACGAGCAGCAGTTTGCCCACCCGCCCCTCCTGGTGCTCAACAGCTTTGGCCCCCATGGCATGCATGTGAAGCTCATGGCCACCATGTTCCAGAACCTGTTCCCTTCCATCAACGTGCACAAGGTGGGCCTGGCCTAGTGAGGTGGCAGGTACGGGTGGGTGCAGCGGGTAGAGGTGCCACAGGCCCTCAGGTGGATTGCTCACTACTCCTAGTGCTGTGGCTGACAGCTCCTGGGTCTGCTGACTCCTGAGGTTAAATCCCACTCATTTGTCCAGTGATGCTGGGCAAAAATGTCCAGAGATGCCCCCAGCACTCCCCACCCTGCAAGCTGCGCCTTGTCCAGCAGGTGAAAAGACATACTGACAGTTTCATTTTCTGTGTGTGTTGAGTGTAGCATCTCTTCTCATGGCCCTGTTTTACAGAGGAAAGCTGCAGGGCCGAGTCCTGTGGCTCAGGCCTGTAATCCCAGCACTTTGGGAGGGCGAGGAAGGAGGATCGCTTGAGCCCAGGAGTTTGAGGTCAGCCTGGGCAACATAGCAAGACCCCATGTCTACAGAAAGTAGATTTTTAAAAAGTAGTCTGGTGTGGTGGCACATGCCTGTAGTACCAGCTACTGAGGAGGCTGAGGTGGGAGAATCACCTGAGCCCAGGAGGTTGAGGCTGCAGTGAGTCATGTTCATGCCACTCTCTTCCATCATGGGTAACAAAGCAGGACCTTGTCTCCAAAAAGAGCAAAACTGAGGCTGGCAGAGATGCTGAGTTTAGATTCCAGGGGGCAGGGCTGGATTTTTAAATTTGTCTCCTGAGTCCTAGCTCCTAATTGTTGTCACCAGTGACTCTCAGACGGACTTACGTAAGATACTAGTTATCAGGGAGTCTAATATGGGCTGTGGGACCAGGATTTTTTCTTTACCTTTTTTTTTTAAGAGACAGAGTTTCCCTATGTTGGTCTTGAACTCCTGGGTGCAAGCAATCCTACACCTGAAATCCTGGGAGCCTCCGCCTCCTAAGTAGCTGAAATTGCAGGCATGCACCACCATGTCCAGCTCATTTTTACATCTACTTTTTGTAGACATGGACACTCTCTATGTTGCCTGGGCTGGTTTTGAACTCCTGGGCTCAGGCAGTCTCCCAACTTCAGCCTCCAGAATAGCTGAAACCACAGGTGCAAGCTGGAAGCAGGATTTGTAGCCAGCACCACAGTCAGTGTAACAGTGCATGTATCCCCTAAAGCCCCCATTTCCCCAAACTTTGCCAAGAGTCTACTGGAGCATGCTCTCTTCCTCACCTCCCAGGTAAACCTGAACACCATCAAGCGCTGCCTCCTCATTGACTACAACCCTGACTCCCAGGAGCTGGACTTCCGCCACTAGTGAGCATCCCAGCAGGCGAGGGATGAGGGGGTACGGGATGGGGGCCTCTGCATGCAGCCGATGACAGCACTCCTGCTGAGACTCTGAGTGCTCTGTCTCAAACGCCCTGACGCACTGTGGGAAGGACGAGATGCGGACTGCCAGCCCCAAGACCCCTGACCACCCCCTTGTCATCCACTCATGTCCCCACAGTAGCATCAAGGTTGTTCCTGTGGGTGCGAGTCGCGGGATGAAGAAGCTTCTCCAGGAGAAGTTCCCCAACATGAGCCGCCTGCAGGACATCAGTGAGCTGCTGGCCACGTAAGGAGGGCACAGGGCGGGAGGCCACCCGCAGCCTGGGGACCCCATAATGGGCCCGGGAGTCTGAGCTACCCCATTGAGCCGCGAGTGTTCCCCACACAGGGGCGCAGGGCTGTCGGAGAGCGAGGCGGAGCCCGACGGTGAGCATAACATCACAGAGCTACCCCAGGCCGTCGCTGGCCGCGGCAACATGCTGGCCCAACAGAGCGCCGTGCGGCTCACTGAGGTAAGGCCCAGGGCAGGTGACCCTTGGGGACCCCCAGCCCCAACAATGGGCTGACACTTCGCTCTCATCCCCCCAGATCGGCCCGAGGATGACGCTGCAACTCATCAAGGTCCAGGACGGCATCGGGGAGGGCAAAGTGATGTTCCACAGTTTTGGTGAGGCCGGGGCCCAAGGGTGGGGGGGTCACAGGTGTGGAGCTGCACCCGACTCTTGGTGACCCGCATCTCCCTGTTCAGTGCGCAAGACAGAGGAGGAGCTGCAGGCCATCCTGGAAGCCAAGGAGAAGAGGCTGCAGCTGAAGGCGCAGAGGCGGGCCCAGCAGGCCCAGAACGTGCAGCGCAAGCAGGAGCAGCGGGAGGCCCACAGGTCTGGGTGGGGCTTGGCAGGGCCAGGCCGGAGGTCCTGGGGATGGGCAGCCACCTTGACCACCACCCAATCCCTCCTTCAGGGAGAAGAGCCTGGAGGGCATGAAGAAGGCACAGGTTGGGCGCAGTCACGAAGTGGCCTTGAGGAGGGCGAGCCTTCGGTTGAGTGAGGAGTTCGATGACCTGGAAGATGATGACATCGAGTATTTCTGCCAGGCGGTGGGCGAGGCGCCCAGTGAGGGTATGGAGTGGGGTTTGCAGTGGGGTCCCTGGGGCCTGTCCTTGTTCCTGGGGCCCTGACATGGTCTCTTCCCCACAGACCTGTTCCCTGAGGCAAAGCAGAAACAGCCAGCCAAGTGTCCGGGCTGGAAGCGGCGGGAAACAGACCGAGGCCAGGGTTGCTTTAGTGACCAGAAGTTGCCCAAGGACAAGCCCCAAGGGGCCCAGGGCAGGCGGGGGCCGAAGGGGGTTTCCTGGCATCGTGGACGGGGCCGGGGCAGGCCTCGGAAGAGAGCAGTGTGAGGCCGAGCCGCGCTGGAGCAGTGGATAGATTGAACGCCCCAGATTGGGGCCCGAGAGATGGCGGCCCTCGGTTTCCTTTCATAAAGGAGTTGTGTCCTCAACCCTTCCACTCCAATAAAGGACTGAACTGGCCAGGGGTCCACGTCAGCTTTTGGGATGGGGGATCCTGGAGCCCTACAAAGCAACCCAGAGAGGCCTGGGCCAGTGACGCCTGGGAGTCCCTCCCACCTTGTTTGCCCTTGGAAGTTGGGTCCCTCTCCCCCTTCCTGCATGGTGTTGGGTGGTGTCATTGGTGGCAGCATTGGGCATGGGCAGCCCCTCCCCACGGTGCCACCAAGAGCCCTGCAAGCAGACAGAGGTCACGCTTTAAGCAGATGGGCCTGAACCCCCGGCTGGCTGTGACACAATGAGGAAGGAAACGTGGGTGGAAACAGGATGCTCTGGCCTGCTCTGCTGGCTGGCCCCAGAACTGTGGGCGGGACTGGGGCTTGGCCACAGGAGACTCAGGAGGAACAGTGGAACTGGGCTGCAGACGCAGACGCAGGCTCAGGCTCAGCAGACGGCGCGGGAGTATGGCAGCCAACCACTCAGGTGAGGAGAAGGCGTGATGGCTTACCCAGGGGTCTGCAGTTAGCCCTGCAGATTGTCAAAAGGTGCGGGCAGTGGGGGATGGGTATTGGTAAAACCTAGGTTGAGGCTGCTTGTGGTGGCAGGAGCCTGTGGTCCCAGCTACTCAGGAGACTGAGGCAGGAGGATCACCTGAGCCCAGGAGTTCAAGCCTGCACTGAGGTGTGATTGCACTTCAGCCTCTGTGACAGAGCGAGATCCTGTCTCCAGAAAAAAGCGAAGTATAAATGGCACTTCGTCCCCGGGCAGGTTGGGGTTGGGAGTGGGTAGGGACCTCCGGAGGAGCCTGTCCCCGGCGGGAATGGGGAACATGAGGAGTGAGCACCTCTGTGCTGCTATCCCCTGCACACCATGATGGGCACTGGTGCCAGTAGTGGGTAAGCAGAGCCCCTCATCCTCCCGGAGGAGGGAGGTTTTTCTGTCATTAGGTGGGGGCACGACATGGAGGAAAATGCTGCAGGGAAGGGAAAGTGGAGGGCATGAGGCTGCAGGCACGCTTTGGGGCCTCTGCAGGCAGGACCACAGACGTCGGGGAGGGAGCCTCAAGAATGTCAGGGTGTGACCAGGCATGGTGGGTCATGCCTGTAATCCCAGTGCTTTAGGAGGCTGAGGCGGGTAGATCACCTCAGGTCAGGAGTTCGAGACCACCTTGAAAAGGAAATCAGAGGTCAAAGTGGTTCAAACATTGGTTTTGGCGGAGGAAATCGGAGCTAGATAATTAAGCTCCAAAGTCCTAGAGGTGGGTGGGGTAAATGCAAATTTGGCAAATTATTAAACCCTTGGAGTCAACCTTTGTGCCCCCTGCTGGGAATACCAGCACCGCTCGTTTTTCCAGTACAGAAAGCAATTTTTTGTATTTTTTTTTTTTTGAGACAAGAGTTTTGCCCTTGTTACCCAGGCTGGAGTGCAATGGCGTGATCTCGGCTCACCGCAACCTCCACCTCCTGGGTTCAGGCAGTTCTCCTGCCTCAGCCTCCTGAGTAGCTGGGATTACAGGCACGTGCCACCATGCCCAGCTAATTTTTTGTATTTTTAGTAGAGACGGGGGTTTCACCATGTTGACCAGGATGGTCTCAATCGCTTGACCTCGTGATCCACCCGACTCAGCCTCCCAAAGTGCTGGGATTACAGGCGTGAGCCACTGCGCCTGGCCCTCAGAAAGGACTTCTAAAAATCCTTACAAGTCAGCAGCGACCAACATGGGGAATCCCCATCTCTACTGAAAATACAAAAATTAGCTGAGCAGGGTGGCGCATGCCTGTAATTCCAGATACTCGGGAGGCGGAGGCCAGAGAATTCCTTGAACCCGGGAGGCAGAGGTTGCAGTGAGCTGAGATTGCACCACTGCACTCCAGCCTGGCACCAGAGTGAGACTGTCTCAAAAAAAAGTCTGGGTGGGAAGGTCCCAAGGCACAAGACTGCAGGAGCAGCCGGGGAGCCAGAGTGGGCTGGCGTGAGGAAGAGAGTCATGGAGCAGAGAGGATGGCACTGGGGAGTGTGGGGGTGGGAACGCACCCATGGGATCTTGTGGGGTTAGTCTGGCTTTTTGGTGACAACTCCACGGCCAAGTGAGCTGGAAGCAGAGTGGTGGGGACAAGACTCCAGCACTCGCAGGTGCCCTCTGGTGGCCACGGGGAGAAGAGGCTGCAGGTGAGGGCTGCACCCCAATGGGGCTTCAGGCAGCACAGATCTGAAGCGAAGTTGGCAGGACTTGCTGGGGCTGGACTTTGGGGAGGAGGCCTCTAGTGGGGGACTCCAGTAGACGAGGGTAGTGGGGGAGCTGGATGGCCACTGGCTTGCCCCAGCTGGTCCATCGGGGCCCAGTGCAGAACCCTGGCTCTCAGTCCCAATCGTGGCCATAAAACCGAGTGGAGCCTGGTCCCCTTCCAGGAAGGGGAAAGGATTCATGTCAGGATCCGTGCCATGGTGGGCGTGGGCTCTGGGGGCAGCAGGAGCTGCCTTATGGGAGATGACTGCTCAGCTGGTGACACCTTCTGCCCACAGGTGCCAAGGCCTGCCCTGTCGCCTTCTTGGTGGCTGCCGACGACATCCTCAGTAAGTTCCAGGGGGACTTCCTGTGGCCCATACTGGTGGTTGAGTTCCTGGTGGCTGTGGCCAGCAATGGCCTGGCCCTGTACCGCTTCAGCACCCGGGAGCAGCGCCCGTGGCACCCCCCTGTGGTCTTCTCAGCCCAGTTGGCAGTCAGTGACCTGCTCTGTGCTCTGACGCTGCCCCCGCTGGCGGCCTACCTCTATCCCCCCAAGCACTGGCGCTACGGGGAGGCCATGTGCCGTCTGGAGCGCTTCCTCTTCACCTGCAACCTGCTGGGCAGTGTCATCTTCATCACCTGCATCAGCCTCAACCGGTATGTGGGCATCGTGCACCCCTTCTTCACCCGCAGCTACCTGCGGCCCAAGCACGCCTGGGCCCTGAGTGCCACAGGCTGGGTCCTGGCCGCCCTGCTGGCCTCGCCCACGCTCAGCTTCTCCCACCTGAAGAGGCCACAGCAGGGGGCAGGCACCTGCAGCGTGGCCAGGCCCGAGGCCTGCATCAAGTGTCTGGGGACAGCAGACAGCCACAGGCTGGCGGCCTATAGAGCGTACAGCCTGGTCCTGGCGGGGCTGGGCTGTGTCCTGCCGCTGCTGCTCACGCTGGCAGCCTATGGTGCCCTTGGACTGGCCGTGCTGCGCAGCACAGGCATGACCGTGGCCGAGAAGCTGCGTGTGGCGGCGCTGGTGGCAAGTGGCGTGGCCCTCTACGCCAGCTCCTATGTACCCTACCACATCATGCGGGTGTTCAACGTGGAGGCTCGGCGACGCTGGGACAGCCGCTGCCCAGACTTTGCAGATGTGAGCCAGGCCAGGGCGGCCCTGGAGTTGGGGCCCTACGTGGGCTACCAGGTGATGCGAGGCCTCATGCCCCTGGCCTTCTGCATCCACCCGCTGCTCTACATGGCCGCAGTGCCCAGCCTCGGCTGCTGCCGCCAACACTGCCCCGGCTACAAGGACAGCTGGAGGCCAGAGGACGCCAAGAGCACCGGCCAAGCCCTGCCCCTCAATGCCACAGCTACTCCTGAACCATCGGAGCCCATCCCATGAGGTGAGCCTGTGACGTGGCCTGGCTGAAGCCACCTCCTTATTCCAGGTGTCACTTCCCTCAGAAAGCAATGCCTGTGATTGCAGCCAGGTTGGTCCTGCTGCAGCCCAGGCAGCAGTCGCCTTTCCCACCCAGAGTGCTGGCCACTCGGGGACCAAACCCATACCCAGGGGAGGGGAGGGGCTGGCTCCACTGCAGGACTGGAGATGCAAGAATAAACAGGACGGGGTAGAGAGGGAGGAGCCTTTTTATTGCCCTTGGAGCCCACGCTCTCAGAGGCTACCTTCCGCCAAGGGTCCTGGGCCGAGCACGTGGTGGCAGCTGGCTTAGTTGGTCGATGGCCTGGGGAAGGCGGGAGGAGGGTGGCATGGTGTGAGACCTTGGGGGGCACCCCAAGACTCCTGACACCCAAGTGGCACCTCATGGGGGGAGCAAAGATGGGGTAATAGGACAAAGGGGGCACATTATCAGATGCCCGGTCTCAAGGCCTGGCCCAAAGACTGGCAGGGACCCCAGGCACAAGAGCTGCCACCCAATACCCCTCTGCCAGGTTTTGGAAAAAGACAATGAAGGACTATCCCCTCAAAACCAAGTTGCGGACTATTAAATTGCTATAGGATTATCGGTCGGCCCCGGGCTCGGTGGCAGTGCTGGGACAAGGCAGGGACCCAGGGCAGGGGTCGGATCTTACTTGGCCCACTCCACATTGAGGATGAGGTGGTCGTAGCCGAAGCCAGACACTCCAGCAATGGCACGCGCAGCATCCTCACGGCGGTGGAAGCTGATGAAAGCAAAGCCCTGCATAGGGGAGGTGTGGGCAGGATCAGAGGCAAGAGCTGGGACAGGCAAACCCCTGCCCCACATTCCCGCATGCCCGCCCACCTACCTTGGACTGGCCAGTGGTCTTGTCCTTAGCCAGGTAGATGCGGGAGATGGAGCCAAAGGGCCGGAAGAGCTCCTGCAGGTCGGTCTCACGCGTGTCCTCCGACAAGTTGGTGACGCGGATGGTGGCGTTGTCATCAGCTGTGAGGGGAGGTGGCTGTAAGTGGAGGCCCCTAGCTGGCCCTCGGGTGCACCTCGGGATGACAGGGTGCCAGGAGGTGCCCACGCACCAGCCTGGCATCGGGGCACCCCTCACCTCTGCGGTTGGGCTGCATGGACTCCCCACGGCGGCTGGCCCCGTCGCGCAGGCTTGGCGGCACGTACTTCCCTGTCTTGTTCTGGGTGGCCTGCACCGGCTCCAGCTCTGGGGACCAACAGACAGCCGAGTTCAACTTCACTCTGGCACAGGCACAGGGACAGAGCTGCCCCAGGAAGCTGGGGCTCCAGTGCTGACCCAGAGCAGGCACCGTCTGCCAAGCCACAGGCAGCCAGTTGGCCAAGGGGACACCAAGGTCACACCTGGAAAGCTGTTACCATTTGAGCTCCCAGCTAGCAACATTGGTAAAGGCAGAGGAGGAAAAGCCCCAACCCCCTCCAGAGAGAGCAGGGAGAGCAGCCTCACATCTACAGCAATGGCAGTCCTGGGACACACATGACAGTGCCCAGGTTCCCCTTACATGGCAGGCAACAAGTGCATGTCCCCACTCACCATCAGCTAATCCCACAAAAGGATTCAGATGATACAGTCACAGGCATGCAACAGACACCACACATACAGAAAGGGATGGAGGGATCAGCACCCTAGGACGGACTGACAGCAGTTCACGTCAGGACAGTCACAGGGCCACCAACAGAGTCACAGCTGCCAAGTCGCATATAAACACGCCTATCTCCCAACCTTACAGGAGATGCAGCCAACTAGGAAGGCAAAAGGCATCTCAAGGAAAGATAGATAGGCACTGTCAAACCCACTGTGCTGTCATGCAGGAGATAGCAGTGGGGACAGAACCCATGCATGGACAGCAGGTAATGACCAAGGACCCCCCACACACCACACCCACAACAGCATCCAGTGGCCCCATCCACGCACCTCCAGGCAGCTTCTCCTTCTCGCCGGTGGACAGGCCCAGCTGCTCAGCCAGCTCCTTCTGCATGGGCCCCAGTGTGTCCTTGTACGGACAGCGAGTGGTCCAGTGGTCGCCCTTGCAGATGCGGCAGGACACGATCTTCTGCCCCTTGAGTTTGTTCATGGGGTCCTCCTCCTCCTGGCAGTTCAGGTCCTGGCAGGGGCAGGTTTGGGGGAACTCAATGAGGTGACTGAGGCACCCCCTTTCCCACCACCCCAGGACATCAGCCCTGTCTGGTTGCCCTGCTTACCTCTTTGCTGGTGATGAACGTCATAGAGACATCGTCACTGACAGTGGTTGTGGCCACATTGGGCCCTGGGGGGTCAAACTCTGAGTTTCCAAACTTCTTCCAGTTCTGGGGTCAGGGAGGGATGGGGGACAGTTGAGGGCAGGGGCAGGCAGGGTTCCACAGTGGGGTACCGCAGACCTACAGCCTCCCCCAGAGTGTCTGGGCCTTGAACCTCATTTTCATCCTCCTCAACCACTCCCTGAACAGTTCTGGTGACAGTTCCTATGGCCTGAGTCCCCACCAGGCCCAAGCTCCAGGAGGCAGGGCAACTGTCAGCATCGGGCCCCAGGTGACAGCTACACAGCCTAGGGCCTGCTCATGCTGGCGGACCAGCTCCCACTAGGGTTCAATATTCAGGGATGTGCAGGGGTCCACCCAGACCTGCAGGCCTTTGAGCTACACAGCCTGAGCCTTGGCTTCCTCCCCTGTAAAACAGGAACCACAAAAGCTTCCTACCTCCCTGGGCTTCTAAAGACATCAAATGAGAAACACCCTGCAAGGTGCTTGGCATGGGGTATGGTACAAATTAAGCGCACAGCAAACTGTCCCAAGTGTATTAATTGATAATCACTTCTTCCAGAAACTGCTGCGACCACCTCCTGGTTCCATTCCTCCACTGACAGGCTAAGAGGAATAAAAAATCTAACCACGGCTAGTCGCAGGAGCTCCCTCCTGTAATCCCAGCACTTTGAGAGGTGAAGGTGGGAGCATCTCTTGAGCCCAGGAACTGGAGACCAGCCTGATCAACATAGAGAAACCCCACCTCTACAAAAAATTAGCCCAGTGTGGCAGTGCACACCTGTAATCCCAGCTACTCGGGAGGGTGAGGTGGGCGGATGGCTTGAACCTGGGAGTACAAGGCTGCAGTCAGTTCTGATTGTGCCACTGCCCTCAAGACTGGGCAACAGGACCGGACCCTGTGTCTTTAAAAAAAAATAAAAGAATCTAACTTACAATATTTTTAATCGAATTTATTTGATATTACTGTCATTCGATATTTATCATCAAACTTTTTTTTTTTTTTTTTGCTGAGATGGAGTCTCGCTCTGTCTCCCAGGCTGGAGTGCAATGGTGCAACCTCCGTCTCCCAGATTCAAGCAATTCTTCTGCCTCAGCCTCCCCCGTAGTTGGGATTATAGGTGCATACCACCACACCTGGCTACTTTCACTGCACTCGGCCCACACTCGGCCCATCATCGAACATTTTTACTATGTATCATCGTCATTTATTTAGCTGATACTTATCATCAACTGCTGTGCCCTGAACTTTTCAAAGCCCTAAGAGTACAAGCACCCAAGGCTCAGTTCAGCTTCACAACAGGTACAAAGAGTTAAGCCCCATCTCTTAAAAACAAAGGTTCAGGGAACACAGTCTTCCAGTCCCTCTGTGTTATCCCTGGGGAAGGAGGATCTCACCTTCCTCCTTGCGACAGCCTTTGAAGCCTTCCGGGTCTCAATCCTGAACGTTCGGACAATCTGAGGACGGGAGAGGAGAAGGGTCAGCCTCGTTGAACCAAAGGAGCTCTTTTATCAACCCCCTCAACACACCCCAACCCCTTCTGGTCTCAGGGTCCCCAAGGAAAAGGGTCCTCACTCCCTGCCCCCTCCCACCCTCACCTTGAACTTCTTGCCATCCTCATCTATCTTGTACTCCGTCACTGTCTTTATGTTTCCGTTGATGACCTCCTTGGGAGGCGGCAGTGGAGCTGGAGAAGGGGAAAAAGAGCAAGAAACTGAGCCCTGGGTCACAGGCAAAGGCAGTGGCACGGCTGGAGGGGGAAGAGGCAGCCCAGACACGGAGTGGCAGTCCTCACTCACCTCCCGGCAGCAGCTCCGGCTCTGGGCTGGTGTCGCCGGTGGCCAGAGGGATCCCTTTGAGGAGCTCGCTGGTGACACATTTGTCTGCGAGAAGCAGCACGGGGAGGAAAGGTCAGCTCCAGGGGCAGGAGCTCCCCAGCTGAGATAGAAGGGCCTTTGGGATGACGCCTACAGCAAAAGCTGAGAAAGGCAGGCCAAGGGCAGAGGGCTAGCCAGGCAGCACACTGGGATGGCCCTGTGGGGACGTGGAGTGGCAAGGATGGGGGAATCCCTCGTAGGAAGGTGGGGGCCACGCCATGAAGCCATCCAGGTGCCAGCAGAGAAACAGGAGACAGATTACAACTCTCTCCCGGGAGTAAGGGAACAGCTGGGAGGGCTAGCGCAGTGGCATGGGAGGAAGAGGGACCTGCCAGGGAACATCTGGAGTTGGCAACAGGCGGGCCCCGAGGAGGAAGGCGCGGGGCAGGGACTGGCCGTGACGGCGGACACGGTGCCAGGCTGGGAGATGGAAACAGGCAGCAGTGACCCGGCTCGGGCCTGACCGCGATGACCTGGGGCAAATGGATTCACTTACCGTCCTCTCCCTCCTCTTCCACCTGGTCGGCCCAGCTGGGCTTCGAACTGCGGAAACAAGTGTGCAGGAAGCTAAGATTAAGTCAGCCAGGTCCGGCCCCCGCGGCCTCGGCGCACCCAGGCCCCATAATACTTCCGAGAGCCCCGTAACCGCCTTCCGTGCCCGCTTCGTGATCCCCAACTCACTCAAAATCTCCAGCAGGCATCGCAAAAGCGCTCTCCACGCAGCCCAAGCCCGGGCTAGAGAGCGGAAGTGGGTGGAAAAGGAGACTTCCGGTTCCGCCGACACCGCCTAGAGGGGCCGGCCGCGGCATCCACAGCGACATCTGCGGACGGAGGTGGAGGCGCACGCGACTGTGTATGCTGCGGGGAGCTGCTGGTACGAGAGTAGGGAGCGCGGAAGGGCGGTGGGGCGCAGAGGCTGATGTCAGGACTGGTCCTACTAGCCTTTAAAAACTAAAATAGGCCGGGCGCGGTGGCTCAAGCCTGTAATCCCGGCACTTTGGGAGACCGAGGCGGGCAGATCACGAGGTCAGGAGATCAAGACCATCCTGGCCAACATGGTGAAACCTCGTTTCTGGTAAAAATACAAAAATTAACTGGGTGTGGTAGCATGCGCTTGTAGTCCCAGCTACTCCGGAGGCTGAGGCGGGACAGTCGCTTAAACCCGGGAGGCAGAGGCCGCAGTGAGGCGAGATCGCGTCACTGCACTCCAGCCTGGGCTACAGAGACTCCATCTCAGAAAAATAAGTTAAATAAAATGATATCATAACAACAAGGTTCACTGATTGAGTGCTTATTGTATATGAAGCACGGTGAGGAGGATATTATTGCAATTTTACAGCTCAGGAAACTGAGGCTGAGACTGGATGCAGTGTCACACGCCTGTAACCCTGCACTTTGAGAGACTGAGGCATGGGGGTTGCTTGAGGCCAGGAGTTCGAGACTAGCCTGGGCAACATGGTGAGAAACCCACCCACCTACCCACCACCATCTCTGAAAAAGAAAAACAAAAAGAAAGCCGAGGCTCAGGGAAAACAATCCTTTTGCTTAAACTGTTCCTTGCCTTCTTTCCCAATCCCACAGATTCAGATGTCAAGGGGCCCCGGGAGCCACTCCCTCTTCTTTTCTTTTGTAGTGTTCTTGGCTTTCCAGTATAATTTTGTGCGTTTACTTCTTTATTGCTCAGCTCCTTGCTCTGAGAACAACCATCCTCAGCTGGAGTGATTCATGATGACTCCCCAGGGGCAAAAACTGGTTTTCAGGGAGGGGGAAAAAAAAACTTAGATATTGTGGTCTTCCAAAGCCAGCTCTATCAGACAACATCTTATTCCTAAGTATTTAGTTTCTGCCTTTAGGGAGATATTAAGTGTAATTAAACTGAAATTAATTTAGTTCATTTAAATTCAATTTTAGAAAAATTTGGGTTTTCTCCTAAAGAGGTTGATAATGAACAAAAAAAACTGACAATGCGGGGGTCAGTGGCTCACGGGTGTAATCCCAGCACTTTGAGAGGCCAAAGTGGGCAGATCTCTTGAGGTCAGGAGTTTGAGACCAGCCTGGGCAACATGGCAAAACCCCATCTCTACTAAAAATACAAAAATTAGCTGGGTGTGGTGGCCTGTGCCTGTAATCCCAGCACTTTGGGAGCTGAAGCAGAAGGATCATTTGAGCCTGGAGTTCAAGACCAGCTTGGCTAACACATAGTGAGACCTTCCATCTCTAAAACAAAACTTTTTAAGAATTAGCTAGTCATACTTCTATGTGCCTGTGACAGTCCCAGCTACTCAGGAGGCTGAGGTAGGAGAACAGCTTGAGCCCAGGAGGTTGAGCCATGATCATGCCACTGCACTTCAGCCTGGGCAACAGAACAAGACCCTGTCTCAAAAAAACAAAAAATAAAAAACACAGAAACACTCACAAAACAAACAAACAAAAACTTGTTAGGGAGAATGGCTTGAGAAAAACAAATAAGACAGGGGAAAAAATTATGCTTTTTATCCTCTGGGGGTGTGAGTGAGGAGGTCACTCAAGTGTTTCGAATATCACCAGCGTTTCTTGTGAAAAAAATTATTCTAGAAGCCTGCAGAGAGCTGAGTGGAAGGGAAAACAGTAGCTGGAGAGCAGGAAAGAGAGGCCTCTGTGGCCTTTCGAGAGGGTGGCCTGGCTATATCGGTGAAAATATGAAGCTGGTCCGAAGGGCTGATAAACATCTGTACAAGCTTAGTCAAACGTACTCTGAGCAACACAAAATCCAAACAACCTAGCAGATTGGGCAAAGCTTTAGAAATTCGGTATCACCCAGTGGTAGTAAAGATGTTACAGGGAAACAAGACAGGCACGGTGGCTCATACCTGTAATCCCAGTACTTCAGAAGGCCGAGGCTGCTGAATCACCTGAGGTCAGGAGTTCGAGACCAGCTTGGACAACATGGTGAAACCCCATCTCTACTAAAAATACAAAAATTAGCTGGGCGTGTTTGGGCGTGGTGGCTCATGCCTGTAATCCCAGCACTTTGGGAGGCTGAGGTGGGTGGATCAAGGGGTCAGGAGATCGAGACCATCCTGACTAACATGGTGAAACCCCATCTCTACTAAAAATACAAAAAATTAGCCAGGTGTGGTGGCACGCACCTCTAGTCCCATCTACTCAGGAGGCTAAGGCAGGAGAATCACGAACCTGGGAGGCAGAGGTCGCAGTGAGTTGAGATCGTGCCACTGCACTCCAGACTGGCAGACAGAGTCTGTCTCAAAAAAAAAAAAAAAGGATTGCTTGAACCTTGGCGGTGGAGTTTGCAGTGAGGTGAGATTGCACCGCTGCACTCCAGCCTGGGCAACAAGAGCAAAACTCCATCTCAAAAATAAATACATACGTAAGACGTTATAGGAAAACAGATGCTCACACACAATGTTAGTGCATGAGATCATGCAAGCTTTTTGGATGGAATCTTGACATCTAATAAAACTTTTTACTTTTTCTTTTTTTGAGACAGGTCTGGCACTGTTGCACAAGCTGGAGTGCAATGGTGCAATCATAGCTCACTGTAGCCGCCATCTCTTGGGTTCAAACAATCCTCCTACAGGAGCCTTCCACATAGCTGGGACTACAGGCATGTGCCACCATGCCTGGCTAATTTTTATATTTCTTGTAGAGATCGGGTCTCACCATGTTGCCCAGGCTGCTCTCAAACTCCTGGGCTCAAGCAATCCTCCCACCTTGGCCTTCCCAAGTGCTGGGATTACAGGCACATGGTACCTTGCCTGGCCTGCATCTACTAAAACTTAAAATGCTTATATGGGCTGGGCACGGTAGCTAATGCCTGTAATCCCAGCACTTTGGGAGGCTGAGGCAAGTGGATCTTAAGGTCAAGAGATCGAGACAATCCTGGCCAACATGGTGAAACCCCATCTCTGCTGAAAATACAAAAATTAGCTGAGTGTAGTGGTGAGTGCTTGTAGTCCCAGCTACTCGGGAGGCCGAGACAGGAGAATTGCCTGAACCCAGGAGGCAAAGGTGATAGTAAGTTGAGATCGCGCCACTGCACTCCAGTCTGGCAACA